TTCCTCGCTAATATACTTTTAGGTATGTGTTCAAAACATTTATTTAATTAATTAATTCCAAGCCTTCTCTCTTTTCCTTACAGGAGGTCCTGTTGATCGGGTGTTTCCTGGCGATGAAGTTTTAGAAATTCAACGCGTCAGCATGTTGGGGATGAGACGTTTGGAGGTCTGGACTTTCATCAGAAAACTTCCCTCTGGACCTGTGGAGGTGGTGCTACGTCGCCCCCATAAACATCAGCATCCATGAGGGTTAAAAAAAAAAACTATGCAAACCAGAAACTATAATCTTTTACTTGAAACTGTCAGTGAAACAAAACATGAAGAAAGTTTTAAAAGCTTATAATAGTTGACTGATGTGAAATCAATGTAATATAGTCTTAATAAGATGTGTGGAAAATGATTAAGTGTGTATATTTATCCCATTTTCATTTTTTAACATTACATCCACCTCCAGACCTGATGCTACTTCAGCCTTAATTAAAATGCATTGATGGCGTGTGCATTTATCAAGTCAGCCAATATTTTCCTGAAAATGTTTGTACATGTTGTAAAAACTCCCAAAATCCTAGCCCACCCTGTTTTATATTGTGAATAACTGCTTACATATTTAATATGGCTTTTTAATAAATGCAGACAAACGTTAGCTTGTTGTTTTTGCTTTTACTAGAGGGAGGTTGTGAGTTAGTTTTTCCTTTTCACCTCCTAGAAAAACCACAAAACAAAGAGATAGTTCAGGTTTGTCTTGCACACCATTCCTTTGTGTAGGATTGTGTGAAATACCTGTGAGTTTTTAGTATCTTAACTGCAGCAGATGGTGGCATAGAGTTATATAAAACCACTTGAGTGCGCACTGCCCAGCCCGCTCATTGTTTACATTTGTGACATCGTGGAGAAGCTAAAATGGCGTCCAAAACTGGCAACAGCTCACATCCAACAAAACAGCTGTTTAATTAACAGCAAACCTGACAGGATCTGTGTCACAAATTATCTTTACAATAATTTAATATAATTCATAATTAATGTTAATTTATACAACAATCATGTAAAACAGCTAGATGTTAGATGAACAAAATCTATTGGGTCTAACTAATGATCTAAACTAGACCTGAAGTCAGGCAATGATTAACGACTGACCTCCAATAGATGTAAGACTTTTTAGCTAGTTTAATTATTATGACATCGCGATGGCAGCCCTCTGCTCCACAAAGAGTACTGTAGTAGCTCGGCGGTCTGTGGTTGTGTCAGGAAGGGCATCCAGCATAAAAACAATTGCCAAGTCTTTGTGTGAGTTAGTTCGCTGTGACGACCCCTGAAGAAGAGAGCAGCCGAAAGAAGAATTATGATTTAAATCGTTTTCAGAATTCATGCAAAGAACTCTGATAGTGATTTGTTTACGGAGGAGAAAGCAGCTTGTACTATTTAATAATTTGTAAATTGTAGCATGATTCAGCCTGTATAACAAAGCAGTATCTGCCACAGAAGCTGATATGTACTAGCCAATTCAATAATTAATAACCATTACATGGCTTTATAAATATATATTAACAGCTTTATTTCTGCTCAGATCAAATCTGCTTACCTGTGGAAGGAACCATGTTGACATTTTCCCTCTGTTGCTAACATTCATAGCACACACAGCTTTCTGGATCTTTTACATTTATATATGCATTCTGTTACTTTATTATTATATTGCATATATTTTTATTTTGTTTACATAACCTTTCTCATGTCTTCTTAGTCAAAATGGCAAGTGCATGTGGTAATGGCTGCCGTTGTTGCAGTGAATCCTAAGGGCATGTGACCAGAGCGTCCTCTAGTGTTTTACACGACTATGATTGTCATCGGAGTGGGTTTTGCTTTGGAGAACTGGAGAGAAATGCAGTGGGTGCTGTTGTAGAGTCCCTTGTATAACTTCATTGTTCTGAGCAGGAACTGTTCAGTGCTCAAGTCGGTGTTTTTTTATTTTTTATTTTTATATTAGGCACCTTGTTGAGCAGCTATGGGGTCCTTGGGGGCATATGTTGAGTTGTTCATGGCAGTTCTTGTACTTTTACATTGATGCCTGTCCCATAAACCGAGCTGACTGGAGTGGATACCAACAGCGGGGAGGCCCTAAACTGGTGTTGTGTCACCAAAGAGAGTTGAGACCAGCACCAACACAGTCCTAGCATGTTAGCAGCTGCTTAGAGCAGGGCTACTTACAGATGAATTTACTGCCATATAAAACAATTCTAACTTTAAACCCTTCCTAGCTCTTTCAGAAAAAAGTTTTATTGTATTTTTTTTTGTTGTCATTTTTAATTTAAAGTTGTTGTTTTTTTAAACACTAAAGTTGCAACACAGGCCTCAGTTTGTCGTGACAGGCTCTGCATTCACAGTTTTGCAAAATGGTCCATGTTGAAGTGTATCCAGTCAGAGTTGCTGCCTGATGCACAGAACAGGAAGTAAATATTTCTTAATCACTATAAAGATTTTGAAGGTTTGTAGGATGACAAAAATGTTCTCTTAAAACCTCTCTATTCTGATTAGCTGTTAGTTTGACTCCATAAAAACTTTTCTAAAGATCATTCCGTCTGCTGGCTGCTGCAGGTAAGATACTGCCCACTCATAAGTACGCTACACATTAAAATAGATATATTAAGATAAGATACATATCACAAGTCTGCCAACAGAGTGCAGTATTTAAAATTAAAGAATCACACATTTTGACCTCACATTGTAGATTTAATTTGTCAGCAGAATTGCTTTAGACCTCTGGAAATTATCAGCAAGCACACTTTGATAAACAAATTATTAGGGTCATATAATTTGTCAAGAGTCCAGAGTTCATGAGCAGGGTTATTCTCACATGCAGGTCCAATCTGATGAAAAAGGATTTCTCTTCAGCCATAAAAATGTTGCTTTAAGAATTGTATAAAGTGTGCAATCATTTATTATTTGTGCTTTTTCTGTAGACAAATCAGTTTGCTCGCTTCAAACAAATGCATAAGAAGAAACAGTTTTTTGATCAATAAAAACACAAACATATGCAATCCACATGGTTAATAAATCAATTGATATAGATAATCAGTTCAGTTATTTTTTATATAGTTCTTTGGTGATTTGGATCAGTCAACTTGAAACATGTTTTAGATTGCACATATTTAAAAGCTCTGTGCAGCCTAATGACCCAACGAAGGATGACAACAGCATTTAAGGTTGAAATTCCACCTAATATTTGTACGTCTTTCCTCCAATACGTTCTTCTAACTCGGACTTATCTTAAAAATACCTCCGTTTTAATAAACTAGCCCAGTCAACACAGTTTTCTGCTTCAAATAACTTTTTTGACAAAACTAGAGTTTTAAACACTTAACGTTTTTCTAAAATAAAAAGATGACTGTTCATGTGTCCATAAATGTAAATAAAAGTTAAAGAGAAACTGCAGCTTGTATTACACATTTATTCACAGGCCAAATATGTTGTAATAAAAGGTGTAGATTACAGAGTAATTATCTGTTTATCTAACGGGCCCAGTGCAGGCAGGAGCTTCTCTGTTTATATAGTAGGTTTGCAGCTTATTGCTAATTAAACTGATGAAAAAAACAGATGATCATTAAAGTGCTGATGCTCATTTGTCAATAAGCTCTGCAAGTCAGCTTGATGACTATTGCTAACTGGTTGTACAAACATCCAGTGGCGTATTGCGTTCTTTTATGACTCATTATCTGATTTTTCTTTGGTCTTTGTTCATATTAGCGATCTCTACCAGATGTGACACATTTCTTCCTCCGTGCCAGCCAGTCCTGACGTGTTGCTCTATACATTAGAGTTTTATGTTTGTCTGGCAAGAGACAAAACTGGAGAGACGAAGGGTTTACGGTGTACACGTCCTCGGATGCTCAGGTTGACAGGGGCTTTAATTCCCACCACCACCCGAGGACGGTTTGCCTTCACAGAAGCTCATCACAGCAGCTCCTGAGCAAACAGAGCTTAGAGGAAGTGAAGGCATAACTTTAACTCAGCCATGTTGAAGCTGCGAACGCTGAGAGTAAGGAATGCTCTGATACGGGAATGCATGGCTGAGTTTTTGGGAACTTTTATTTTGATGGTAAGCCACATTGCACCTTAAAGTTGAAATTGTTTAAAGTTCTAACGAAATGCACATTGTAGATCGTCTTTAAAGACCCAAATAATTACTTCAATAAAAAGATAAAACTTGCTTTTTTTAAAACATGCATCCTACAGAACATTCCAGCAAGTTACATTTTATTTATTTCAAGAAAATACGTCATCGGCTCGTGAAAAATACTATAACTATCATTGTTTGTTTTGTAATTCTTCAGGTTTCATGTCAAATTGGCATCAAATTGTAAATAAATCAAATTCAAGGGAAAGATGAGATGAAATGGGAAAAATGAAAGGAAACTCAATGTCAATGTTAGTTTTATTTAACTAAAAACGATCTGAACTCAAGATATTTGAATTTATTGGTCAAAAACATTTTTAAATTCCTTCAAGTTTAAGCTTGGTAAGCCAAAAAAAATGATGGAACATCACAGCCTTTAACGTTTGTAAGGAGATCATGGGTGCTCCAATTCTTCCTCATCTGAAGGTGAGCAGCAGAGCTGGGTCAAGTTTAGTTTTCAGTTTCTCCACATGTAATCCTGGGCCGATCAGAACTTCAGGCCTGTCCACTGACCTTCTCTTTCTCAGACATGTTTTTGTGATGCGTGTATATATTGTTCTGTTGATAAATGCAGATAGGTTTCTGCAAAATATCATCATTAATGCCAAACTAGAGAAACTGTATTTCCTGTGAAAATGCAGTGTGAATGCTTAATGCTAAATGAATTTGGTTGAAAGCTGCTGCTAAATTTGAAACCAGTCTAAAAAGCTTTCATCTAAACTGTTAATTTGAGTTGAATTGGAACAGCGGACGTTTGCTGAAAGCTGGAACTGATCGTTGGTTGTTGATATGTGCTGCTGACTAGCCATGAGGCTGATCTCATGCTGCTGATTTATTTAATATTATGATGCACACTCAATAATCCAGGTAGAAAAATGTAAAAAAGTTAAGTCTGGTCCTCTGGACATTCTAAAAAACAAAACAAAACAAAAAAGTTGTAGAAACGTTTCGTCTTTCATCCGAAAGACTTCTTCAGTCTGAGGTGCTGTATTCAGCTCAGTGATTTGTTTAATGTTGCTGTGTCCATTCGTCCTCATCTGCTCACACAGACTCATGTTCATGCTGCTGTTGTTCGGCGCATTGTATTAGTGTTTAGCGTATTCTTAGTTTGGCATATTTCTTGGTTCATGTCCTGGATCTTACTACTGTTTTTTTTTTTTTTTTTTTACAATTTGTATTTTTGTTGGATGTAACTGGGACCCTGGGTACATAGTTTCGTTCCACCACATGTACCACATGTGGTGTGAATGACAATAAAGACACCTTGACCGTGACCTTGAACATTAAAAAATAATAATTGGAAAGCAGTTAGAAACATGGCAGAAATGTGTAGAAAAAGGTACATGTAACAGAAATGTGGCAGAATACAATATAAAAGTCAGAGAGGCTAAATAGATTACAAAAAAAAAAAAAATTAGCAAAAAAGATTCTGAAATTAGCAGAAAGAGGTTGCTAAAACTAAAAGCTTAAATTATTTGGGGGGAAAAAAAATCACAAAAGGTGAAAATTAGAACGAAAGAAAAGCAAAAAAAAGGCTGAAGATTTGCAGATGATTATGTAAAAAGCAGCTGAATAAGCAAAAAATGCTGAAATTAGCAGAAAGAAGTTGGAAAAAGGTGAAATGAGCAGTAAAAGGTTGTAAACAGCACAGAGTGTTTGAAGGATAAGAAGAAAGATTCGTTTTCAATAAGAACATGGCCGACAAAGCTAAATGTTGGATAAATAAATATCCTATTATTCACCTACTTACTCAAATAAGCCGTTCCAATAAGGTTTTTAATCTTGCAAGAGACGGCCACGATAAGGTGTACACGGATGTACAAAGTTACATGCTCAGTGCCTCGTCATGAGAATCTGCACCGGACAGTGAGGAGGAAGTGTTTTTATAATCCTTATCAGACAGAGGCAGGTCATCGACCTCAGCTTCCCAGCTTACAGACTCGGAGGCGTCCTTGGAGTTATCAAGTGTGCCTGCAGGCTCCTCTCTGAACTCACACGCATTAATTTAACATTAGTTATAAACATCCATGAACCTTTACCAAAATTCATTTGACACTAAATATTTCAAAAAGTAAAAGTTGCACCAATACCAAAGCCAAAGCATGAATGTCCTGAATGAGCTAAACGTTTTGATTTATGAATTGTTGAAATGGGGCAGCACGGTGGCGCAACTGGTAGAGCTGCTGCCTCTCAACGGTCCCCAGTTCAAATTAGGTTTTGAACAACTACATAATTTTTAAAGTCGACATCAACATAACAAAACTCAAGTAGAACTCGAGTAGTTGATGATGTCATAGGATCTCAAGATGCAAAAATAAATAAATAAATAAAACAAAAAAACCCCCGTAATTTATTATTTACAAACAACAACAAAAAAGGCCAACAAAATATTGGGAGCGTATATTATGCTCCTACCATTTATCATACTGCAAATAAGTCACAGCAAAACCAAAACTATTGGTTATTATTATTATTAAGCTGTAAAAGTGAAAGAAACGTGCGGCACATCAAAAACAAAACTATAAACAGTGGGGCGGACGACCACCTCGCACCAACGCCAGCTGTGGGGCGCATTACTTTTAGTTTTAGAGATTAATATGTTTATAGGTTTTTATAGGTTTAGAGATTAATATTTTTTGCTTTTTATTTGTGAAACAAGGTCAGAGGCTGGTTCAGGTTCGGCCCATTGGACCCAGTGTTACACCATATTCTGTGATCTGCAACAGTGCATGCAACACCGTGGTCACAGAATATGGTGTAACACCGGTTTGCAACGAGCTCCAAACAGTCAGGAAGTTGATTCAATTTCTGTTTCCTTACGGTAGATGAACCGGAAGATTAATCTTTAGTGAACTATTTCCATACTATCGATGTATTTCTACCTGTTTGCCAAGACTGGACCTGCTCCGCTCCATCCGTCTGCTTGGAGGAATCCATTTTGTAGCCCGCGCCCGGTGAGGATCACGTGACACGTGACGCAATGACGTAATGACGTAATGGTGAAGTAATGACGTCACTATGAGTACTCGACATGTACTGTAATTTAAAAACTCAAGAGATGTTCTAGGAATCGATGTGTCGATTACTCGAGTAGTCCGTTAAAGCCCTAGTTCAAATCCCTGTCCGAGGGCCTTTCTGGGTGGAGTTTGCATGTTCTCTCTGTGCATGTGTGGGTTTTCTCCAGGTACTCCGGTTTCCTCCCACAGACCAAAAACATGCATGTTAAGCTGATTGGTGACTCTAAATTGTCCCTAGGTGTGAGTGAGAGAGTGAATGGTTGTTTGTCTCGTTTGTCTCTATGTGTCCCTGTGATGGACTGGAGACCTGTCCAGGGTGTACCCCGCCCCTCGCACAGTGATTGCTGGACATGGGCACTGGCGACCCCCGTGACCCAAAATGGAAGAAGCGGGTAAAAGATAATGGATGGATGGATGGAATTGTTGAAATAGCAGAAAAGTTGCAGAACTAGCAATACATCACAGAAGCTGTTGATAACCATGTGGATGGACCGGTTTGTTGTTGGTCTGGACTCACAGCATCTATTTGTTTCTAAACAATTTCTGAAATACTCACCAAAATACATGATATTGCTGATGGTCTGTTTCAGAATGCCTTAGATGTAAAATGTCCTTTTTGCACTTAGTGTTTAAGAGACAGTTGTGAGTGTGACTAAAGTCATTCCTTGTCTATGTGATAATGTCAGCTAGTGATAAAGTGCCGGCTCAGGAACAAAGATTAACAAAGTGTATCTTAGATTTGTCTCTTGATATTGCCCTTCATGTGCTGAAATTCTTCCATCTTCCTCAAATACTTGAATTAACGGATGCACTGAAATGTTCACATTTCTCCCAATCAATCTTCTTAAATGATTGTTTATTCCCTTTATCTCCCAACCTAAATTGTTCTATCTCAACATTTTATTTTTGCTAGTTTTGTTTTTTGTGATGTATCGTAAGAGATAAGGTAAATAATAAAACATCTGCACGTCTATTTCCAAACAATCCCTACTTTTTTTTAATGTAAAATTACACCAGTTTACAGCTCATCAAATTATTTATTGTGATTTATTTTCTTTTTTTTTAAATGACCACTTTTATGAACAACTTTCACTCATCATGACTGTTTTCATTAGTTTGATTCCCTATAATAATAGTGGCCTCAGCTTGTACTGAATAATACATACATGTTAAAGAACAACATCAGCCTTTTAATATTTTATTCATTTTGTGTATCTTGTCATTTTGATGAGTTGGTTGCTTGAGGGAAGCACTGAAAAAAAAAATGTAGCAAGCAGCCCAACTTTGTCTATTTGTGTTAACCTTAAAATCAGTGAGCCTGTCACAAATAGTCAAAATGTGCACAAACAGATTGTGCACATTAGCTTTTAGCTCACCTAAAAAAAACTTTTTTTTCTTTCTGACACTGTTGAGGGGGTGCATGTAAATGCATGTACAGTGCTCTATTATTTCACTATATTAATTATGTGTGTGTGTGTGTGTACTTTACCTTTTCCTGTACTTTATTGTCATTGTGATCTGAATGGGATGTTATTATGCTTCTTATCGACAAGAACCCTTTAGAAATGTGTAACTCCAGCGGCAGTTCCCTCTGTGTGTCTGTGCAGCTGCTGGGTCGGTTGTGACAACATTGGGGGGGGGGACTTGATAAGTTTCTACAAAATAACTTTTCTTATTAGGAAGTCAGAACCAGATAGGAACCGAGGCAGAGCGAGTGTTAGGAGTTCCTGTACTTGTAATGGTTTCTTTACAAAGGCAGCTGTGGCTGAGTGGTTAGAGCAGTCCTCCTCCAATGCAGTTGGGGGTTCAATTCCACCAGCAGTCACATGTTGAAGTGTCCCTGGGCAAGACACTGAACCCCTCATTGCCTTCGATGAGTGTCCAATCAATGTATGAATGTGATAAAGCACTGATTAGTCTTTGTAGAATGCTGTATGAATAGGTAAACGAGGGCACAGATTGTGTAAAGCGTTTTGAGTGTCTTGATAGAAAAGCTCTATATAAGTGCAGTCCATTTACCATTTCTGCATCCTGACTGGCTCTCCACAAAGCTTCGTGTTATTAAATTTGATGAAATCTACACCCGATTGCTTGTGAATCAGTTTCTTTTTTTCTGCGACAACACTGAACTTTTATTTTTCTGTTTGTCACACAGCTCTTTGGCTGCTCTGCAGCTGCACAGGTGAAAACCAGCCGAGAGGCTAAAGGCCAGTATCTGTCCATCAACATGTCCTTCTCTGTGGGCGTGATGTCAGCCATGTACCTCACCAAAGGCATATCAGGTAAGGTTGTTGTCATTGTATAATGGATGAACTCAATGTGTTATCTTGATCGACAGCTAAACCCAACAGCAGAATACCAAAAAAAAAATAAAAGTTACTGTAGTTTTACTGCAGTTAATATATGTAATGTGTTGCAGACAACCAATAAAGACATTATCTTTCAAAGTTTTATTATGATTGATCTAATTATGTCACAGAGATAATCTAACCTCCTTTCTCTTTCTCTCTCTTTTATCCTCCACCTCCTTTATGTATTTTGTCTGACATCCCTCGTTCCTCTGTAGGGGCCCACCTGAACCCAGCAGTGACTCTGAGTTTCTGTGTCTTGGGGCAGGTTCAGTGGGTGCGGCTCGTGCCCTACTGCCTCTCCCAAATCCTGGGGGCGTACGTGGCATCAGCGCTGGTCTATCTGGTCTACTATGGTTTGACATTTTATTATTTTTCGTTTAATAAATCTTTTCGCTCTTTTGATCCTTTTATTGTCTTGTCCTGTTCAGAATTGTGGAAAATGGGATAGAAATGTGCTCACAGTGCTTGTTAAACATCTTGGTAGCTCGAAACTTAAAAAAAAAAAAAAAGTGCATTGGAGGAAATGGCAAGCTCAGAGACACAAGAAGATTCCCACATCTCCAAGAAAAGTCAAGATTCTGCAACTAAATCCAACAATGTTCAGTCAGGTCATCTGGATGATTTTTGCTGAGACGTTTCGTCCTTCATCCAAATGACTTCTTCAATCTGAGGAGCCACCAAACAGAGTCCCACAAGCAGCACACTCCCATAGTGGGGAAAAAAACAGGTTGCTGGTGATAAGATTGCCTCCGGGGCCCCCCTTCTCCCCTGTCGTCTCCTCTGAGGCAGCCATGCCAAAGTGGTTCAAAAGTGGTTTGTGGGACTCAGTTTGTTGGTGGCTCCTCAGAAGAAGTCCTTTGGATGAAGAACAAAACGTCAAAAAAAGAAAAAAATGAAAAAGAAAGCGTCCAGATGACCTGACTGAACATTGATGGATTTTTACCTGGATTATTGAGCATGAACTTTTGTCTGCAACTAAATGTTAGTAAAGTCTGTCTGCTATTGGTGGAATTAATTGTTGGTATTTATTAACTCTTTTTAATAATAATAATAAAAAAACTGTTCAAAATAATATTAGCTGTTAAAAAAAACATTTTAATACTACTCATATTTCAGTAACCTGGGACCCTATGAATTTCATAGTGTTCTGATGTTTCAGAATTGCTTTATTTGCTTTTATTTTGTAATAAATTAAAACAAATCTATGTCTAAAACGCATGCGAACATGCTTCCAGCTGAAACCCAATGTTTGTCGTGTTTCTCTTGCAGATGCCATCATGGAGTTTAGTGGAGGAGTTTTGACTGTTTATGGCCCAAATGAGACAGCATCCATTTTCGCCACATATCCATCAGAATACCTCACGTTAGGCAGGAGTTTTCTAGATCAGGTAGGTAGTGTTAGTTCAAACTGAACCACTGGTTCAGCTTCAGTTTATTGAACCCAGATGTGTCATCAGGTTGTGGGCACCGGCATGCTGATGTTGAGCATCCTGTGTTTGGATGAGAAGAGAAACACCCCGGCTCCTGCAGAGCTGATTCCTGCCATCGTTGCAGTGATTGTCCTCGGTATCTCCATGTCGATGTCTGCAAACTGCGGCGCTGCCATCAATCCTGCTCGGGACCTGGGCCCCCGCCTCTTTACACTCAGTGCAGGCTGGGGGCCTGAAGTCTTCACGTAAGAACTTTGTGCTGCAGTGCACGCAAACACACACGTTCTGACAACTAACTGACAGGTGACACGTTTAAAGTCTGCTGTCAAAATGCTGCAATAAAAATTTATAAAGAGGCCATATTTTCTGTGCTCTTGCATTTTTAATGTTTCTCTGAAAATTTGTGATGTTTTCTAGAACTTCTAGTTATCCTTTTGCTACTTTTAACTTTTAGCCACCCTTTTGCAAGTTAAGCTTCTAGCTAATCTTTTGCTATTTTAACTAGCCCACTATTACTTTTAGCTACATTTCTGCTACTTTTAGCTCTTGGCTACTATTATGCTTCTATTAGCTATTCTATTAACTTTTAGCCACCCCATTGCAATATTTAGCTTTTAGCTAGGTTTTTGTTATGTTAACTAGTCTTCAGCTACATTTAGCTATATTACTGTAAACGTTAACATTCTGTTACTTTTATATTTTAATCACCATTCTACTGCTTTAAGTTTTTAGCTACCATTTTGCTACTTTTAACTTTTAGCCACTGCTATGCTTAGCTTCTAGCTAGTCTTTTGTTAGTTTAACTAGCACTCTGCTACTTTTAATTATATTTCTGCTATTTATTTTAGCTACTATTTTGATACTTTTAGTTAGTTTTCTGCTATTTAACTCCTATCTAGACATTTTTGCTATGTTTTAGCTTTTGGTTTGCCTTTTACTAACTAACTCTTGCTACTTTTAGCTATTAGCTGGTGTGTTGCTACTTTTATCTTTTAGCTAGTTTCCTGCTTATTTCAGCTTTAACAACTCAGTTTTAGCTTCTGTGGCAAGTTTCAGTTTCAGTTTGTGTGTTCATTGCTCCCTGGTGTTTTGTCTAGTTTGAGCACTGAAGCCACACATTTGTTTGTTTATCTTTAAATCAGTAGTTTAAATTATTTAAAGTGCGGTTCTGTGGAAAGGTTAGGAACAATTAATATCTTACCTGTCATCAGTAGCTTCCAATTTAATATTGTAACAGACGATGTTGGTGTTGTTTTTCTTAAATGTGTTTTATTTAATGAAGTTATTTTATTCTACAGGTGTTACAATTACTGGTTCTGGGTGCCGTTGGTGGCTCCTCCTATTGGAGGTGTTTTGGGTTCTTTCATGTATTTGATCTTCATCCACTGGCAGCTGCCTGACCCAGAACCTCCTGAGAACCTCCCTGTGGTTCTCACCATCAGCGACAAGATCCAGAAGCCAATCAGCAGCTGGGAGAACGGAGAGAAGCTAAAGTCTGCACATTTTTAATTGTTACAGTGATAAAAAAAAAAAAAAAATCCAACAGTTTTGATAATAACAGTTTTTTGCTCTCGTGGCCAAAAACCAGACCTCTGGTTGTTCACTGCAGTTTGATGATAATATCTGATAAACCTGGATTGCTTTTCCTCAGCTGCAAATAGACAACAACTCATCAACTACTGTTAACAAACTCCTTCACATTTCGAGGAAAATTACTGTAAAATAGTTATATTCAAATATTGTTCTATATTTTACTGTAACTTTTGTAAACTCTAACTTAATATAATTACCATAAAGTTATAACAAGACGTAAAGCTCAAATAAAATTTAAAGTACAGCATTAAAAAAGCACTTTGTGTGTGAATGAGTAAAAGTGATGAACCGTAAGGTGCTAAAAGTCTCTTTTATTATTATGAGTTTTTTCATTCAACCTTTATTTATACAGGCTAGCCTCATTAAGCCACGGGGACTCATTTACAAGAGGGACCTGTTCCAGACATAACATATAAAGTACAGACAACAACCGTAGACAATGACAGCAATAAACTACAGTAAAAAATGCAGTTAAAATAAGAGTAGTGTATAAAACAATAAATCAGGGTGCTGCAAAACAGGATGAAATACTAAAAACAAGAACATATCTGCCTTGATTTTCTATTGACATTATCAAATGTTTGAAACCCCTTAAAGAAATCAAGGTGGGCAACTTCAGTTCCTGTTGTAAGGTGTTCTAGGTTACAGGAGCTGAGTAGGAAAAGTTTTTTTTGTCAAGTTCAGTCTGCACTGAGGGACCGCTGCAGGTAATGATGACCTGAGAGCGCACGCTGTAACTGCACTGATGACGTGACATGTGGGAGGAGATATAAGAAGGTAGCAGACCAAGGAGGGATTTATAGATGGAAATGCACCAGTGTGAGAGCCTGCGTGTAGATAATGACCAACTGACCAATGAGTACAGGGTGCAGTGGTGTGTAAAGTAGTTACAACCAGTTATGAATCTTAGCGCACCATGGTAGACAGCATCCAACATCTGCAAGCAGCTGGCAGGGGCATTCATGTAAATAATGTCACCATAGTCAGTGGCCAGTAGGAAAGTAGCAGCTACAAGGTGTTTTCTGGCATTCAGAGTTAAGCAAGATTTATTTCTGAAAAATAAACCCAGTTTTAATTTGTTTCTTTATCAAGTTTTCAATATGTGGTTTAAAAGACAGATGTGCATCAACGAAAATTCCCATGTATTTGTAAGAATCTGCAAACTCAACAGGAGCACCATGCATGGATGAGATAGGAGGAAGAGATGGTGGGGCCGACTTTCTGTTGGAAAACAACATCCCTTTGGTTTTGGCAGCATTTTGCACCAGCTTGAGATGGAATAAGTCTGACTGAATGATGTCAAGTGCAGACTGTAGAAGCTGGAAAACCCTGGCAACTGTGTTAGCTCAGCAAGAAACAACAGTGTCATCAGCATAGAGATGCAAGAATGTGTCAGGAATGTTTTGACCTACGTTATTTATATAAATTGTAAAAAGAGTGGGACCTAAAACTGAGTCTTGTGGCACACCATTGATGACTGTTGGGTATCTAGATGAAGTACCGTTGTGTCAAACACATTGCCTCCAACCTGAGAGATAGTTTGAGAACCAGCCAAAAGTGTGATCGGAGAAGCCAAAATCTGAGAGCTCATGACATAAGATATCATGATCTACAGTATCAAAGGCTTTGGACAGGTCTAAATAAAGTGCAGCACAATGGTCCTTAGCATCCAAAGCTTCAACAACATCATTAAAAAACCTTTAGGGAAGCAGTCATTGTGCTGTGTTTCCTGAAGCCAAATTGGAGAGAAGATTAAATATTCCGAGTTCAAATAGTTTTTGACTTGAGTATTTATCAGTTTTTCTAAAACCTTATCTAAAATACAGAGTTGGAGTTTGGGCGATAATAGTCCAAAAAAAGGGGGGGGGGGGGGGCTCTCCTCCCTTCAGTAATGAATGTTGGAGTGATGTCAGGCCCTGCTGTCAAGTGAATCCATCACAGACCAGTACAGTCCAAATGTCACCTGTTCTTAAACTAATTGCAGAATAAGAGATAATGAAGATGCCTCCTGAATGGCCATGATGCTTGGGTGATACGAATACCTGACTGAAATAAGAAAAGATGATAATAAGAACATTCATCTGATCATAAAAATATCTGCCTGATCATAAGAACCTCCATCTGATCCATCTGTAAATCACAGAACAGATTCTAGAGGCTGTACAAGAACAATAAAAAATTTTTTTTTAAATTGTCATGCAACTGTGAGAATGAAAAACATCTTGACACCTATAGGTCAGACTTAAATCATGAGACTTTTGTTGTTTCTATGATAGCTCTCAGCTGCAGGTAAGATGCTGACTGCTCCTATATATGCCACAAAATCTCTCTAAAAAGAGTGCATTCTGTATGCTCATGAAAATGACGATAACTGTGAATGATCCCTTATTTTTGTAATACTTTACAAAAAGATCAATAAAATATGTAACTTTAAAACAGCATGTTACTGTACTCCTGTAATGCACTGTAATTAAAACACACTAATGTACTGTTGGAGTAAATCACAGCCGCTGGTCTGCAAATAAGAGTGAAATGTTGGCCTCCTCTCAGAGGAACACTGACAGCTTGTTGAACACAGCCAGCAGCCATAACCGATACTGACTGAGGAATAAAGCTGTTAACGTCTTTTTTTGTTTTGTTTTTTTAGCAAAGTGATTTGTTACATTTGTGAGTTGTTTACTTTTTAATTATGAAATGCCTTTTTGAACACTATGCATCTGGTAAACAATAATAACAATCAATCACAGGCCTAATCAGTAGTAAGTGTAATAAAGTACTTTGATTGCAGTGTTCCAGTACTTCTTGTACTAACAGCTGTCTTTACTTATTAGTTACTTTTAATGTACAGATTTAATTATAGACATGAGAGGATTTTTTTCCCCATACACAGACACGGTTAAAGTTCAGGTTGGTGTGATTAATTTTTTTGTTGTCGCTTCTGTTACCACAGAAAGCAGTGTTTATTTGGGTGATGTTTCCAAGTTAATGTTTCTTCCAATATATGGATTTTCCCTCCAAATCTGTTAAAATATTTTTATTGTGATAAATAAAATGAATGATCATCCACAAGAAGAAGAAAGATAAAAGAAGAAAGGAGGAAGAAGAAGATGGAGGAAGAAAAAGAAAGGAGGAAGAAGAAAATGGAGGAAGAAAAAGAAAGAAGGAAGAAGAAGAGGATGGAAGAAGAAAAAGAAAGAAGGAAGAAAATGGAAGAAGAAGGAAGAAGGAGAAGAAAGGAGGAGGAAGACGAAAAGAAGAAAAAGAACATGGAAATGCTCAATAGAGATTAAAAAAAAAAAGGGAAATGCAAAGGTATGTATCAGACAGCAGAGGGCGCTGTGACACAAAACCAGTACAAACAGACCATTAAAAAGTAGGAAGGTGAGGGTTTTTATGCATTTTTAATTAACCTGTTCTCTAAAGAATAATGCCTCTAAAACCCGTTTAATTGTTTGAATAATTTCCAACATGTCTAAAGCTGTAGCTACTGTTGATGCAGATTAAAACACAGTGAATGTGCTGAAGGCAAACTGAGCAAAATGTTGCTTTCAGGGAGCAGGAAGTTCAGATGGAGCGGAGGAGAAGGAGGTGCTGTCCTTCCTCCTCCTCCTCCTCCTCCTGATGAGAGCAGCAGAGCATCTCCGGTGTCTGATTCCGCTTCTCTCCAACCTCAGTGGCCTCAGAACCTCCGACTGAAGTCCGAACCTCGCCATGTCCTCCAGCTCAGGACACTTCGCAGCAGAAACCAGTTTCTAACGCAGAGCTGAGGAGGTAAGGTGACTTTGTTTCTTTATGCAGAAGAAGTACATGTATCAGCTGGAGTTTGGGGATTTGTTCGCTGATTTTTGCTCTAGTACAAAATAAAGTGGGTTCACAAAGCAGTGCGAGTCAAAAGATTTCCTAAACTCGAAGTTTGTCTTGTTGCTGTTTGATGCTACAAACATATAGAGCAGCTTTTAGTGGTGTTTAATTAACACTTAGTTCAAGCAGCCTCCAGAGCAGCTCCTGCTGTGACGTCACTTTGTTAAAATTCCTCCTCTGCTATTTAAAACAATTCGTTCAGTTTTTCTTAGAGGCTGTACTGCTGGGAAGCCAAAAAGGTCAGGACAATAAATGTACGTGTTTAATTTAAAAGCATGTTGGGTGTTAAATATGTAAAACTTGCACAAATAATCTCAGCAGGAATAAAAAAAAATAAACTGTGAACACAGTTCTTTGAAATTTGCTGAAGTTGAAACAACTGAAAGCTAAAAGTCACAGAAGGCTAGCTAAAACTTGAAAATAAAAAAATCTAGCAAAAAGTAGCAAAATGCTTGCTAATAGTAGCAGAATATCTAAAAGTAGCAAAATACTAGTATAAACTTAAAACTAGTAAAACACTATGTTAAAATAAAAAAATACGTAAAATGCTAGCTAAAACCTAAACGTAACAACAAGCTAGCAAAAAGGAGTGAAGCGCTAGATCAACTCTAAAAGTAGCAAAATACTAGCAAACTACAAAGCTAAATGCTTGCTTAAAAATTAAAACTAGCTAAACACTTACCTAAACTCATAAAAAGCATAATAAGAAACTAAAAGAAACAAATTGCTAGCCAAAACCCAAAAGTAGCAAATGGGAAGCTAAATGCTAATAGTAACAAATGCTAGCTAAAACCAGCAAAAGCTAACTAACTTTAGCAGAACATTAGCCTTTAACTAAAATTTCCATTAGTAGATGTAACATTGACAATATTAGTACAGCAGCAGATGTAGTGGAATTATCATTAGTAGTATTATCAGTATTAGTAGTATTAGGAGTAATAGAATTAGCATTAGCTGTATTAATATTAATATTAGTAGTATATTTAGCGTAGGCAGTAGTACCGTAGTATTAAAGAATGCTATAGTAGATAAGAAAACAATATTTCTGAAGCATA